TTCTAATGGGCTGGTCAGAGGCTGCAGGGAAGCGGCCTCCCCAGTCCCCTGCTGTCTGCATCTGAACCCAGAGGCCGCGTTCTGAACCTAGACCTATCATGGCCGCTGGTCTAGAATTAATATGCACCCTCTTCCATACATTTGTCCAGTGGCAGCAGTGAGCACCATAAGTCAGCTGCCCATAGTGTGAAGCAGGACTTCCTTTTGTCAGTCCTGAATCTACTGCCAAGCAGTTTCCAAGGGTGACCCCACAAATGCTAGTATCACAGGATAGGGGGGAAGTTGTTCTCTGTCCATTGCCTTTACATCATGCATTTTTAAGAGCGCTTAGAGTGCCCCTCCCTCAGTCACCTTTTTCGAACCTGAAAACCACCAGATACTCTAGCCTTGCCCCGTAAGTCAAGTGCTCCAGCCTTCCCCTGGTATTTTGCTTGCCTTTTCTTGTTCATTCCCAGCCCTTCAATATGCTTTTGCAGAAACAGCAACCAGAACTGTGCGCAGTATTTCCAAATGTGGCTGCACCAGTCAGGTTTTATATAAACCCATTAGGCTGTTAAGCTTACACAGAAGCCTCTGGCGAGGCACCTTGTCAAGTGCTTTATGGAAGTCCAAAAATGTCTACTGGATCACCTGTCTAGATCAGGGTCTCCAACTTTTTGAGCCTGCCGGGCACCTTTGGAATTCTGACTCATAAGAACATAAGAGACGCCAATGTTGGATCAGGCCAAAGGCCCATCTAGTCCAATACTCTGTCACACAGTGGCCAAAAATACCAGGTGCCATCAGGAGGTCCAGCAGTGGGGCCAGGACATTAGAAGCCCTCCCACTGTTGGCCCCCCCAAGCACCAAGACTCAGAGTTGTGGCTGCAACCACAAAATGGTGCCAACCACCAAAGGCCACCTGACCCACCCACTTTCTAAAAACATGTGGCAGGCCCCAGGGAAGGTGCTGTTGCACCGACAGGTACCAAGTTGGGGCTCCTGGTCTAGACGTCTGTTGACACCCTTAAAGAATTTTAAGGTTGGTGAGGCAGATCTTGGCCACTCCTCTTTAGGCTTGTTCTTCGATGAGTTTCTGTATTTGATAATATTCTCCACCAAGTTACCCAAGATGGCCTAACCCACCTGCCCTAGATCCCTTTTAAAAATCGGTATTACATTTGCCTGTTTTCCATTCCTCTGGTAGGGAGGTTAATGCCAATAACAAATTAAGTATTTTAGTTACAAGATCAGTAATTTCATGTTTGGGTTCTTTGTCAGTCCTAAAATTTCTTCTTTGTACACCACTATTGGAGTCAATTTGTTCTTCATTGCCACTGAAAAATCTGGTTTGGTGACAGGTATCTGTCCAACGTCCTCTAGATGGAAAACGGATACAAAGAATGTGTCTGCGATCTCCCCATCCTCCTTTAGCAATCTTCTCCCACCATTGTAAGTTAATGATTGAACAATTCATGTTGGTGATCTTAATATTTTTTCAAAAAGGGGGAAAGAGAAACTGGGGAGAAGAAACAGAAAGCATGTTCTGTCTTGGAAGGACAGTTTGTGATGGTGGCAGTTGTGCCTTCTCCTCTCCAACCAACCCCCCCCCCCACTGTTGATGCTCCAGAAGAGCAGTGCAGGACCCTCACATTGACACCCTGGGGAACAAGAAGCAAAGAGGCGTTTCTGCTCAAACAACGGAGGTGCGCGTGGCCTGGGATTTCCACTGTTCTCCTCTTCAGCTGGAATGCTCCATGCTGCAAGGCCCCCTAACCTCCAGGAGCAGCTCTTGGGTGGGGGAATGCGCAAAATGACATTCACATGGCTCCAACATATAATTAACAATTAATAGTGAACCCCCCTCCCCTAATCTGCCTAGCAAATCTGCCTAACAGCCCTGGCTGCAAATATGCCTAACGCTTCGGTTTCTGCAAGTTGTGCAGTTTTTAGAATGCTACCATAAGCAGGCTTCCCAGTGTGTAAGCCCCATCAAGCGCAGTGGGGCTTTCTTCTGAGTAAGCATGGACAGGATTGGCATTTTAAAACATTAAATAAATGTGTTTGTGGGCATGAGGCTTTGTAGTCTAAATCATCAGAATCTTAAAATCCCGGCAGTATTTATCCTTATTGCTTATTTGTTATTAATAATAATTAATGAGAATTGCATGCTGGTTAGCAAAAAGGCTTGTGCATTTTTTTGCTTGCTCGCTTGTTACATCTCTGCTGTGCTTTTCAGCCAAGATTTGGTTCCCAAGGCAGCTTCCGACAATTAAAATCCATCTCAGATACAATGATTGTTGTTGTTAAGCTTCTGGCATTAGAATGTGCCAGGGAGGCGCTGAACCTTAACAATCTTGTTTTCTTTTTCTTTTGCGTGTGTGTGCCTGGAAGTCATGGTTGACTTCTGCTGACCCCTAGTGGGGCTTGGATGTTTCAGAGAGGTGGCTTGCTATTGCCTGCCTCTGCGCCCCAGCCCTGGTATTCCTTGGAGGCCTCCCTTCCAAGAACTTGCCAGGGTTGGCCCTGCTTAGCTTCCAAGATTGGGTTTGCCTGGACTATCCAGGTTGGGGCAGCAATCTTGTTCTCAATGCCAGTGAGCATCCTGGGAATAAATGAACAAAAGGATTAGATGAGCGTACTCTTGTGTGGGTGCAGAGTGCATTTCTCTCTCCCCCTCTTGAGTATGCTGGCATAGCAGAGTGTCTAAGAAGATGAGCTGTGATTGGCGTCCTTTGGTCGGTTCAGATCTGCACCTACCCTTGGATGAATGTTTGTTTTTGGGCCCCCTCTGTAGTATGAGGATAGTAATGCTACCTTACAGGGCTGTTGTTGAAAGAATGACTGTGTCAATCTGTGCCAAGGGCTTTGAACTCTGAATGTTCTAGTTCTTGTTATTAAACTGCAGAAGTCCAGGCACACAAATTAGGAGGAAAAGAGGGATAGCCTAATGATATTAAAACAGTTGATCCAGGGTTCAGATACTGGTGGGGGTGGTATAAAGATGGAAGTAACTAAATAAAAGGGGCTGTGGTGGCTCAAGTGGTTAAGACGCTGAGCTGCAGAGCGGAAGGTCTGTAGGTTGGCAGTTTGAGACCCGAGTGGGCCGCATGATGGAGTGAGCTCCCGTCTCTGGCCCCAGTTCCTGCCAACCTAACAGTTCGAATGCAAGAAATTGCAAGTAGATAAATAGGTACCGCTTCGGTGGGAAGGTAACAGTGTTCCCTGCGCCTCAGTGTTTAGTCGTGCCGGCCACATGACCACGGAAATGTCTTCAGACAGCGCTGGCTCTTTGGCTTGGAAACAGAGATGAGCACCGCCCCCTAGAGTTGCATTCGACTGGCCTTTACCATATCTAAATAAAATTACCTTCAAAGCGCTCTTTAAGGTCCTCTGGTGTTACTATATGGATCATACCGCAGACGCAGGCAGTTTAAAATGTTGCTCCTTGATTTAGATGGTCATTGCATGTTTTTCTCCCAGGGAGGGCTGGAAGTGGCTTTCCGCTTTGTTTAATCCTCAGAACCACCACCCCGCAATGTAGTTTGGGCCGAAAGAGGGAGAGCGGCCCAAGGTCACTGGGGGGGGGGGAGCTTTCATGGCCGAGCGGGAATCGGAACTCAGATCCCGTCTGAAGCTCTAGCCACAGGAGTCGCCCCCCAGCTTCGGGAGGGAAAGGCGGGCTAGGGAAAGTGGGGCCGGGCCCTCCTCCTCCT